CTATATAGGATAGATTTTAATAATAAAGTGTTTTGAACATTCAACTGGTGTGACTATATAGTAAAATGTGACTATAACGGGAGTGACTATAGAGGGAGTTGACTGTATTCTAACATCAGATATCCACTGTCACAGCATAGATTTCTGAACACTGGTAGCTGCCACCCAACAATAACCCCATTCAACCATTTATAGTAAGCTTTATTTAAGTTTATAAAGTAAAATAAAAACCTATTCTAAATCTAAATTTGAACGAAACACTAAATGAAAATAACAAAAAAAAGAAAAAATAAGAAAAATATAAAACAAAAAAAAAAATCTGGGATCTGTAACAGCTGTATTATTTATCTCTATCCTTCATTCCTTCTTCTTCTGAGGTGTGTATACACAGTCAAAGATGAAATCCAAAGCCTTTATCGATAGTTGTTTAAAAAGAAACTAGAGTCGGTTAGTTTCACAATATTGGAAAAAGATTGGACTGAAGGTTACACTAAAAAAGCCATTGAAATTCCATAAGAGGTTATCCGTTCTATAAGTTGACTCAAAATGAAAGTTATCTTCCATGTTAAAAATTAATTATTGTTGTGCCGGCAAATTGCAGAAAGTGTCCAGAAATGTGTCAAATTTATGACGTGATCTAATTCAGAATTCATTAGATGGTGTGCTAATTGGGAGTCTTGTGACTTGACGAATAGAAAATACTGGTGGGTGTTAGTAAACAATGGGCGTCAAAGAAGGTGTCGAAGAAGGTATAGGTAAGTATTGTTCATATCATTTAAGTAGGCTAGTTAAAGTCTTTCAGAGATAATCTTATGTATAGTGCTTAAGTCGTTGTGAAGCTGTCGTGTACTTCTTGATAGCCTAGTCAAGTATCTTGAAAAATGAGGGCCTGTTGCTGTAAAGAAAATTGTTGTGAAGAAAATCCACAAAGTCTTTGTTATTTAGGAGTTCATTGGTCGCTCTTTTCATGTTCAAGGTATAGTTATTCTACTTAAAAAAAGTAGCTTAAAACTGTCCTCATCTTAACATTGTCTCAAAGCTTGCTTATTTTGGGTGATATGCCTCTCCAGACCATCTTGAATCTAGGAACACCATAAAGAAAAGAAAAACGCATAAGAAAAGAAAATGAATAAAAATATTCTAATACTAAAATAAACCACGTTAGGTTTTTTGCTGTCAAGTCTTTGCTTGAAATATATAAAATAAAATAAAAGTGTATAAACTAGAAGCGAAACAAATAAAAAAATAAAAAATTATTGTTAAGAAAATATGGTCCAGATGTTTAGCGGAAAGAATGTATGTTTGCTAAAGTTATTATTATTATTAATTATAGCAGAAAAATAGATGAACAGAACTAAAGATTTTTTAAATTTCCTTAATTAATATAGCTAATTTGAGATGAAAGCTTTTTCTTACCATATCTTAAAAAATGCTAGTTAGTTTATATTTTCTGAAGAATTAGATGTAATAGAATAAAAAATAAATGTAATATTCATTGCAATATAGTCATACGTTTAATAAATAGTTATTTGTAGAATATCTATATAGTTTTAAAAATCAAATGAATTCTTTATTATATTTTTTATGAAATAATACATAAGAAAATAAAGATCAGCTAGTTAAGTATTTACTATACATAAAACTTGCTAAGTAAAATATCCAGTTTTTTAATAATAGATGGAAAAAATATATACTTGACTTTTAACCAATAAAATCTAGAGTTAGATAAATAAATGAGAAACAAATTGATCAATAATAACCAGAACTGTTGCTATTATAATTAGTTATATAAGTAAAATTTTATATTAAAAAATTAATTTTTCATTTATATTAGCTTTATAAAAATGAAGATTTTTTTAATCTTTCAGTCAAATAATCTAATATCTAATAGATTTTTAAATCCATCAGATCATTCTGGCTAAATCCAAAAGTACGATCATCTTTGTTGTATAATAATATACCTCATTTTAAAATCACATAAAAAAATAAAATTTTATAATTTATATAATTATATTACAAATTTTTATTAATTTATTAATAAACTTGAGTAAATCATTTATATTAAATTTAATTTAAAAAATAAAAGTTCTCTTTTGCTTTACATTATTTACTGTTAATTTTGTTAGCTACAACACAATAAGTACTGAAAATAATAGATTTTTATAAATCAAATTTAGTACTCCAAATGAGTTAAATCAAATCAAGTTATATGTAAATTCAACTTGACTCGTATTAAATTGAGTTAAATTGAGTCAAATTAAAATTATAAAAAATATAAACTTATTTAGTACCTGATGGATTTTCAGATATTATTTTGTGCATATGATATTCTAATAAAATATATTCTGATTTAATGTTAAGTGTCGGCGTAGCTTTGACTTGATTCAAATTGAGTTGGCTGGTCAAACCAAGTTAATTTGACTTGATTCAACTTGACTCAATTTTATTAAATTATTAACTCAATTTGATTTAATTCAATTTAATTGTAATTTTCAATTTAATTCAATTTGACTCAATTCAACTCAACTCAATCAACTTGTAAGTTAACTTGACTTGTTTCAGAATATTACAAATTTCTGTTTAAATATTAGTCAAACAATATAAAATATTAGTCAAATAATATAATATATTAGTTTTAGTTAAATAA